ATGCTCGCATCTGCTCTCACTCGCTCTGACTTGCTGGTGCGACGACGACAACGCGCGCACTGCCGCTCCGGTTGCATGCTGACTGCCGAAGCGATTTACTGCTTTTATAGCTGCTGCTGTACGCACGACGGTAGACAGCCGTGCCGGGCAGGAGGCAGTCAGACATGGCCCGCATCTCGTTCATTCATTATTTCACACATACAGTCACACACGAATGTATTGTGCACATTCATGCGCACACAAATGTCTCTTTAATTTCGGCTTTCGCCATTGTAAGTGCATTTTCGGCTCTACAAACATAAACACATACATATGCATATGGAAAGGCAAGAACGCCAACCGCAGACGCAAATTCCTCGCTACCTTTGCAACTAAAGTCGTTTCATTTACATATATATGTACATACGGGCGATATGCACAAACATACATATGTATTTGTGGATTTCTGGCATTGCACATCTGCCTGATCGTCCGTCCGGCAAGCGCGCTGCCGCATTTGAAATTAATGTTGTCGGCGCCGCATTTGTTGAGATTGAAAATTGAATTAAATTAAATCGCAATTGCCGCGCCTCAGCGCATGCCGCCCCAACCGCCACTCACAACCCAGTATCTACCAGTTTGCAAGCCCTAGGTGACCGAACGGGTGCTGGTACTACCAAGCGCGGTGGAGTGTTGCCTTCAAGCAGCCAATGTATCCTAATTACATTTTCCTAGATAAATTGCAAAGTTTCGGTGCACTTCCGTGAATTCGTGCGCTGTTTGAGTTTGCCTGCCGACGTGCCGTTCGGCGCCCCAAGTGGAGCTCGAAAGTTACGTGTGTGTCGGCGAAGCTGCATGAAATGCAAATAACTGTAAAGAATGCTCAAGTAGCTGCGCCTGCAAGTAAGTCGGCTGTGCGTCAGGGAGCGCCGCGGATCGGTGGAATACTCTTCCGGCTTTTAATAAAATCGGTGAGATGGCGAGGAGACTTTGTGTGGGTGTCGCATGTCATGCGCCATCTTGCATGTGTTGGTGTGCTAAGGGAATTCGCAACTAAGCTATAAATTACACGCTATCGACGCCACGGCAAATGAATGTTTGAATACATAATAGAGGGTGCTCTTGGCCGAAAAATATTTTTTTTTTTTTTAAGTTTTCGGAATTGCTGGTAGAGTTCGAAATAATGCATTAAAAAAGTTTGATTGATGTTGAAATTAAAATTTTTACTTCTGTAATACCGAAATTTCATTTAAGATCTCAATTAATGGATTGAAAATTTTAAAACAAAATTTTTTGTTGCAAAATTTTCAAATTCCTCTTCAGCTATTTGATTTCAAAAGCTCTCTATGTGAAAGTGATTTGTTCATAACTTTGACTTTTTTATAAAAATTTGCCATCACGTCTTTTCCAGATTAAATCCAACCCTGTCTAAATTGACTTCAACAGTCCATGTGTAACATATTTCCGGGGTATTGAGCGCGGGAAGCGGATGAGATTGAGAGCTTTTACAAAAACAGTGTTACAATGCAATTGAGGTGTAGATACGTCAGCTAAACTTCAGTAATGAGCATACGTATATGATTATATATAGATATAAATTTATTATATACAAAAATATAGCACCCAGCAGTAAGAACTGGGACAACTGTTATAGCAACTACTGGTTAAGTAACTGGTTACATATATAAAAAATTAAGATATCTTGTTGAAACTTGGTACATAAGTTCCTTGGCCATTGCTACGTCCACAAAACGCCATTAATTGAAGACCTATAAAAGGATGGTGCTAAGCTGAAATTGGGACACAAAACTGTTACTTGGAGATTGCAGTTGTACTAGTTTGAAAAGCTTTAAACGGTAGTCTTGACCCTGTTCTCTAAAATGTATATATCTTCTATGCACCATGTGTAGAAGTTCACGCAAGTGAGGAACGTCCTCTGAGCGCCATTCACTTGGGAGGCCAGAAAAGATTTTTTTACATATGGCTCAAGCAGCTCACGACTTCCGGTCTTAGACCAAGTATCCTCTGGGTAGCCTAAGAAGATCCGTTTGAAGGCGAACTAAAGTGAGAAGACGAAACATCCCGTCCGTCGTCGAGTAAAGGCTGACATCACTGCCGTCCAAGAAATGCGATGTATGGGGCAACGCTTAAGGCGAGTGGGTCCTTGAAACATTAATAAAGTTGCGCAAATTCGATTTGGGATTCGTTATGGAAGAGAGACTCCGTCGCCGACAACGAAAGTCTAGCCACAATCGATGATTTGCGCACATGTCCCGGCGGAAGAGAAGGACGATCTGACCAAATATGTTCTCTAAGAGAGCTTGGTAAATTCAGCATTCACGAGGAACAATTCCCAAATGAGTTGAGGCTGATCGACTTCGTCGGAGTACAAAATATGGTTATCTGTTGCATTAGATTCCAACATAGAAAATCCATCAAGCTACCTGGCTGGCTCCGGATCGAGAAGCCACCAACCAGTTCGATCATGTTGTGATAGACGGAAGACACGTTCAGAGTATTTCAGACGTGCTTACACTCCGAGGTCCTAACATCGACTCAAACCATTGTCTTGTTGCAGCCAAGATACACATCCGCCGCTGTGCAGCAAAAAACGCATGTCAGCAAACACAAAGAAGATTCGATGCCGAGAAGCTGCAACCGACAGCCGAATGTTTTTCTTCTCGCCTTGCACTCCTGCCCTCCCACTTACAGTGGGGAAATTGTTGACATCGGACTACAGCCACTCCTACTTTCGATATAACACAATTTTAAGTTCCATAGAGATGAAGTCTGTTATCAACTCGCTTCCTGCACTGATAGTCCGATTTACTGCAGGGTTTTGTACCCCACACTTCTGAGCACTTTCAATATAAGTCAAATAAATCTCTGTATGTACATACAAGCATACATACATACATAGCAGGAGTGTCGATGTATGCTGTCAGCTTCCGTTGACATAAAAGTCATTCAGCGCCCACTTGGAGTATAGTGCGTACCCTTGTAGTGCAGAAGAACACATTATCGAGCTTGCGACTGACATTTTTGCCAAGCTGGCCCATAAATATACATACAGGCGACTCAGCGCGTACATGATATGCAACCGATTTCCGCTATAAGACAACCTGCAATCGTACATACGAACATAAGTACATACATGGAAGATATAGACTTGAGCCTGAGTGCAGCCATGAGCACACTGACTGGAACTCAAAATGTTGATATATGTACATATAAACACATATACATATATATATACACAAACGTTCACATATAGATATGTACATCAAAATAGAAGCAAGTAAGTTTGTGTGTTGGCAGTTTCTCCCAGTGATAACTGCGGCAAGTACATACTTCAACCGTCTTTGATATATGTTTGTGTGTTTGTATGTTTGTCTGTATTTACAGTTAGTTTTCCTGCAAATATTTGCTTCTGGAATATTTGCGCGCTCCATCATAATTCAAACAGACACGCTGACGCTTGTCGAACTTGCTGGCAAGCTGGCAGCTTGCATCCTGACAAGTCGCTAGTCAGGCGGATAAGTTGGCTAGCTGGCTGACGCGTGAGTTAGTCGCCGTTTGACTGCTATTTATCAAGGAACAATGATTTAAGCATAAAAATGGCTTTAAATCGGCATTAAGCAGTAATAAATAACACCAATAGTGCCAGAGCAGCGCAGGCTACGCGTTGTTGTTTCTGCAAGCGGGAAAAGCCAATGTTCTTGAAATATCAATGCTATGGCATATTATAGAAGATAAGCAGCCTTTTGTGTCTACTTGAATCGCGTATATCAACGACTTTTGTGCTTACATACATATATATATGTATAAACAGCGGTAAAACTTGCACTTACTTCGCGGCCTCAGGCGAAGTGGTCAGCTTTACGTGTTTGACATTAGAAATTCACACACAAACTGCATTTATAACACAAGTTACAATTTTAGCACTTTTAACGCATCTTATTAGCAGATGTCACATAAACAAATTCAAATTCAAATTCACTTCACACTCTAAACGCATAAATGCTGTGTCTGCAAATGATGAAAATCAGAAAATTTGCAGCGATCCAATATTTAATACACGCTGACGACATCTTTACATTTATCTTCTCCTTAGTTAAATTTATCTACATTGGCAATAATTTGAATTTTATATGCAATAATTTGTAATAAAAAACAACTATAAACAGTATTTACTCACTCCGCAAGTCTCAACTCTTGAAAGCGAATTTGTGCGCAACGTCTTTTTCGACATTTCTCAGGTTATTCTCTGTTGACATATTTCGGTTCTGTAACAAACTAACACCACATACAAACGAGCAGTAGCTATAATCCACACACAGATGGCGCACAAAAAATTTCATAGGAATCTACTTTTAACTATAGATGTCGCTTACGCTTATTATTGCAGGCCACAACAAGATACTTTGGTATAGAGAGCAGCCATGCATCCACATAACAATATTCCGTTAAAAGTTTCAATATTTCATATGGGCGTTGAGCATAAAAAATGGATTATATAGAGACCCTCATAAATTCAATAATATTTATACATATCTGTATTAAAATACGAATGAAATTGAGTGTCAAAAATCGTCATCGAACTACAGCTTAGAGGTCGCTCAGTTTGAATTGAATAAGGCAACATGTAAAAAAACAAACAAACTACAAAATCAGAATAAAATATAGAAAATACTGATTTAGTATGCCAGTCCATGGTTTGTTGTATATTGCTGCTTGATTCCTATTTTCTAAAACTTGTTATGTCGAAAGTAGCTCCACATAAGCCTAGTTTTTTAATGCCACTTGATACCATTCAACCGCTCGTTCGTTGGATGTAATATTTTTTTAAAAGATGACTAGTTACATAATATTTATATTTATGAAAAGTTATATGTTAATTTAAAAAAAAATTCTTTTAAATTCAGTTTAAAATAAGATGGCAAATATTAAAGATACTCATATTCATTTTTATAATAACATGGCAACTCTCCGCACAGCTGATTAATTTTGATAAACAACAGAAAAGTAAAAAAATAGACCGGGCATTTGACAGCTTCCAGCCTTTACGTAAAATGTTTTTTCGTAAGTTTGCATGGTAAGAAATTTTATTTTATGCAAGTGATTATATACAAAAGGAAATTATAAAACTTGTATAATTAAACATAAATCAAATGTGTTGACATCTTCCCATTACAGTACAGTAGCGCGCAGCCACTATTGCAACACGAGACACTTCCGATTGGCTGTAGGGCGAGAGCTTCCAATTAACTTAACATGCACTATCATAACAAAAACAGGCATTCAAAATGCGACACGAAGGAGTTTTTACACTTGTGATTTGCTTTGCAAACGCCGAAAAACCGGAGAGGAGAAGGTGCGTACATTTTTATTTCATATTTGTTTTATTGCTAATTTAAGTGTTGTGACTTCAGAAATCCGATCGCATCATAGAATATTCGCCCAAAAAGAAGAAAAATGATGCAAAGTTAGAAGGTGTGGTGGATATTTGGCGTCACATATCCGTTCAAGAACTTGCAGATTGTCTAAAACGCCCAATAGGTAATTACAGGAAAATTCATATTTTATTTATACACTGCTGTAATCACTTACTAATTGCAGAGGATGTACAAGAGGTGATGTTATACGTGAAGGGTGCTGACAATATAGAACCACAAGCTCGTCTTGATGATCTCAAAGTCATACAAGAAATAGTTAATAAATGTGGCGTTAAGACACGCATTGTCTCTGCACCAGAAGTAGAGGTGGAAGATTCAGGTGATTTGGGTAAGCACCATGATGTGTCGCCACGCCCACCAGCTCCAGCAGAACTTTTGAAACCACGTCCGCCAGTCGTAACTGTTATGGGACATGTGGATCATGGCAAAACAACACTATTGGATTCATTACGTGGTGCAGCAGTGGCGGCAGGTGAAGCCGGTGGCATAACACAACATATTGGTGCTTTCACAGTGAAACTTAGCAATGGTGAGCAGGTGACTTTTCTCGACACACCTGGTCATGCGGCATTTAGTGCAATGCGTGCACGTGGAGCACATGTTACGGACATAATTGTACTGGTAGTGGCTGCCGAGGATGGCGTTATGGCACAGACACGTGAAGTCATTCAGCTTGCGTTGAATGAGAATGGTAAGCATTGTTTTTCCATTTTTTAAGTTATTTTGGAGAGTAAATAATTTAGTTTGTTGCTACCTTCATTAACAGTCCCTATTATTGTCGCTATTAATAAAATTGATAAACCCGAAGCAGACATTGTGAGTACTTTGAGTTACTTTTTTTTTAGTAAATGTAGAGGTTATATTGACATTTTCTTCTTTTAGGATAAAACCAAACGTGATTTAATGCAAATGGGCTTAGTGCTGGAGGAACAGGGTGGCGACATACAAGCCATACCAATTTCAGCTTTGAAAGGTACAAACTTAGAACTTTTGACGGAGGCTGTGAGTACGCAGGCGACTATTATGGGCCTTAAAGCAGATCCTGCTGGACTTATTGAAGGTGTTGTTGTCGAGTCGAGGACAGATGCACATAGAGGGTGAGTTGTTTTAAAACTCGTAACGGTTATTTGTTGTGACAACTTTCTCTTAAGAAAGCTCTCTACCGCGATTGTTACACGCGGCACTCTACGGAAAGGCGCTGTGCTGGTGAGCGGCTTGGCGCATGCCAAAGTGCGTGGACTATTCGATCATAACGGCAAGCCAATGACGCAAGCACCACCCGGTACGCCAGTCGAAATATTGGGTTGGCGCGAGCTGCCACTCGCTGGTGATATTATACTTGAGGTGGAAACCGAGGTATGTTCGTGTATGCCATAATGCAAAATTTTGACTCAATTGATTCTTCCCAATTTATGTTACAGAAAAAGGCGCATTCCGTGTTACGTTGGCGTGAACATGAAGCCAAACATCACAAAGCGGAAGAGGCTGTTGATGAGATTCGCAAAAAAGACGAGGAACATTTGGCAAAATATCGGGCTGAGCGTGATGCGCGTCGATTGGCCGGCAAATTTCGTATGCGTTACGGACCGCGCGAAAAGGAAAATATCGAACATGACGATGTGCCACGCGTTAGTATTATTATCAAAGGTGATGTGCACGGTTCGGTAGAGGCTCTACTCGATGTCTTCGATACCTACACTAGCAATGAACGTTGCAGGCTCGATGTGGTGCACTACGGTGTGGGAAATGTGTCCGAGGGCGATATTGAATTGGCAAGAGCGTTTAATGCGATAGTCTATGGCTTTTCAGTGCCGGCGCCAACGAATGCGCCAAAAGACGTGACAATACGTTGTTACGATGTCATTTATCGTCTTATCGACGATCTGAAAAAAGAAATTAGCAGCAAACTTCCCGCGGTGGAAGTGGAAGAGATTGTGGGCGAGGCGAATGTGCTGCAGCAATTCTTCATCAATGAGGGCCGTAAAGAAGTGCCTGTTGCCGGTTGCCGTTGTGTCAAGGGTGTACTGAAGAAAGCACACAAATTCCGTTTAGTGCGTGATGACGAGGTTTTATACGAGGGTAAGTCAACAAATTGTTGTTGTAAAAGAATTTCATCAACACTTACATTTTCATAGGTCATTTGGAGTCTATGCGCCATTTGAAAAACGAAGTGGATTCCATAAAAAAGGATGTGGAGTGTGGTCTACGTTTCAAGGATACGAAAGTGGTGCCGCAAGCGGGCGATACCATTGTATGCTTCACAACGCGCATGGAAGAGCAGCAAACAGATTGGGATCCTGGATTTTAATTCCATCTGGTCTAATGAAGTCCAGTTGGTTAACAGAAAAGCGCCGAAAATTGTACTAGTGTATAAATGGAAACTGCATTTCTCGCATTAGAATTTTTCTATGCAATTCATGCCCATCAACTTTGCCATGTTAATAATTTTTCTTTTAAAGTGAACTGTTATAAGCTTTCTTAACTGCGTAATTTGGTAAGATTTTCATTAATTGAAAGAAAAACATTATGTTAAAAACGAAAAACTGTAAAAATTATTTATAAAGTGGCAAATGAATTACAATTTGTATAACAAAATAATAGTTGAATATATTTAGTATACAGCGTACTTTGTTATCGGCGCCAAAGCCGCATAGAAACATATATATTCACATTTCCTGTTGTTATTCTTCGATCCATTCATAAAACTTGAAATTAGATGCCGCAAAAGCGCGCGCTAAACAATGCTCAATGTCACACAGTGTCTGAATGTAAAACCTCAACACTATTACTAGCTCGTTTGTTGTTGTTGCAGCTAGTTATTAATGAGCATAGGATAAGAATGGGACACATGAAATGGGAGCATTTTAGAGCAGAACGGAACTGGCCATTGATAAGGCGCCATTGTATCAAATACACATTTGTATATTTGTGCCTGTGTATGTGTGAGTGCATTAGTAATCACGTTAATTCTGAGTCGCAGGAGTTATAATAGAGAAAAAGGACCAGCCGGCCGATTGGTTTGTATGTTGCCCACAATGGTAGCAATAGTTGTATGGGTTTATTTAGTTAACACCTCGAAAGGGATTGGTGATTGGAAAAATCTGAACCTCACCTTCACCTGTCACATCTCTTTAATACAAACGAGATTCTGTTGACCGAGTAGAGGCGGTAAAATTGTATCTTAAACTTTAGCACCCTAGCCCCGGATACAGACTCGGATGTAGAAGGCCGATCTCCTTTTAATCATAAATGAATCAGATTACAGAAACCGATATAAATAAGTAAACAAATAATTTCGACAAATTAATGATAACCTTCAGCATGAAAAAAGGTTAGGATAGGAACCTGAAATTTGAGCTCATTATTGGAACCAACCAAACTGTCGCAACTATGCAAAAAGTTCCAGCGCTACCAACTTTATATGATCAGGCTCTTGGAAATCAGATGGCCTGACGTTCTTTTGTTGGTAACCATCCCAATCAAAGCAGATAATATATCGTTGGATTTCTTCTCCCCAAGTCAGTTTCAGCGGCCTTGTAAAATGAAACCTACTCAAGAGCAAGGAATATGACAATAGTCCAATGTTACGTACTTACGAATGTTACTGATTTTGCCGTTAAATATGTTTTCTACAGCAGTCTCTCGAACATTTTAACTGAAATCAACAGCAGTGACACGGTTTCCTGATTGGCGACATGAACGCTCAAGTTGGCCGATGTAATTCAGGTCTCCAAGGTACGATGAGTCAGTATGGGTTGAAATCGATTACTTGGAATGGAGAGACGTTCACTGAGTGTTGTTCTAACTATAATATTGTTATTGCTCTCTAAGCAATTTCAATCACTAGCGCATCCTCCATACAACGTCGATCGATCGAGCTACCGATAACGAGTTCGACCATATTACCACAAGTCAAAAGTGTCGAGAAAGATTGGGATGTTTACCAAACGCTAAGGTGCTTAAAAAAGATGAAGATCTCCAAGGACAAGCAAATTTACATACGAGAGCAGTACTACCAAAAGTTACTTTCAGCGCTCTCGCTGCAGACCATTCAGCCGAGCGACTGCGAACGCGACACTACACGACGTTACATTTCCACAAAACATCCGGATGAGAGCGAGATAATCAATGCGATTAAATCGCTGAAAAACAATAAAGATCCCGAACTTTACAACATCAATCCGAAACTATTTAAAGTTGACCTCAAGATAAGTGCACGGATTCTGTTATCCCTACTTAAAAAAGTTTAGAAAAATGTAGAAAAAATTCCATCTGATGTTAGAGGAGAAGCGTAACCGTTCGCTATTAACCAACTCGCTGAGGCAAGTGCTACGAAAAGAGCAAGCTGGCTTTCGCCCTCTTTGCTCTTGTGTTGATTATATAAACACCTTGGAAGTAATTGTCGAGCGTAAGCATCACAAGAACAGCATTATATGGGAACCCTCAAGGGCCGAAGACGAGGCAGACAAGCCAATACGTGGAGGTGATAAGTTGAAGTAGAGTTTGCAAAGGTTGTTTCTGAAGACAAATCAAATCTAGAGACAAATCAATTTCCTATTAAAAACACAGAAACTTCAAATTTAATGGGGAATGTTTATTCGAACGAACATTTTTTGATATTTATGTTTTGAAGATTATCTCTTTCAAATGTTGGATGACTAGCATTTCAACTGGCGCTCAATGAGACTTTAGACTTTACATAACTCCACAGAAAAAAGTCTAACGGTGGGATATTATACGATCTTGGTGGCCTATCGGCCGACCCAAAACGTGAAATTATCTGCTCACCAAAGTGTTCTATCAGTAAATGCATGGAGTGATGCGATGTTTGAGAAGTGGCGACGTCTTGTTGAAATCAGAAATCGTTGAGGTCATGAGCTGCAGTTTCAGGCATCAAATAGTCGGTTATCATGGCGCGATAACGGTCGTCCTTGTGGGTTACGCTTTCCACCGCATCATTTTTGAAGCAATTTTGCTTTTTTCGTATTGCTGAAGTTCTCACATAGTGACGATATTGCCCAGAAGAGGACGCTGTTTTAAGCAGCGATTGATTCCTAGAAAAATATCAAATCTTTAAGGAAATCAAAAATTGCTAAGGTCAATAGCACAATATCTCAGAAAAATGAAAGTCATTCAAAATATGTAAATGCGTGTGCGACCTATTTGATTGTTTTTATTCTGAGAAAAAAGTAAAAACGCGCTTTGATAATACATAATTTGAATAACGGAAGTGGTGCATAACCAGTGATATACGCGCGAAAGAGCTGAGTAGTCCCGGTGAAGCCACGACCACAACATAAAACTAAACTATTAATATTTTCGCTCTATGATTTTGCGCATTTGCTGAATTATAGTTTTTATGCGATAAGGAGCTTCCGCTACAAAAATGGTGCCTCTAGGCGGAGGTTAAATAGTCGGAATGCGCTTGAAGGCAGCTGTGGAATTCGCGACACTATTTTCATATGCGATAACAACTTGCGCTTTTCACATTCTCATTGTCACACACAAGTAAATGTTGAGTCTAAAATTAATTAAAAAAAAAAAAAAAAAAAAAAAAAAAAAAAAAAAAAAAAAAAAAAAAAAAAAAAAAAAAAAAAAAAAAATTACAAGCAAAAAATATAAAATAAAATATGTTTGCCAAAGATAAATACTTGAATCATTCAATGTTTTATGGTAAAACACAATTAATTTTTAGCAAAGCAATAATAACAAACAAATTTTAAACATTTATAAAATTTGTTCTACTCATTTCTTTGTATGTATGTACTGCTTATTGAACTTAAAGTAGTGTTTTAGAATATTATTTTTAGACCGCTTTGTGATAACTTATCGTCGCAGGAAGTACTAAATTCCGTTTTACATACATATAGTTATGTATACTGAAACTCCTCGCGAGCTTTGTTTATAATATTCAAAGTTTTAAATTTGACGGTGATTTTATATGTATGTATTAGGGTGGGTAAAAAAAGAAAAGATTTTTTTCAATCGATGCTCTGAAAAATAGGTTTTAAGACATCTCTATGTTCTTTTAATTGCAACGGTAAGGTCCTCGTCATTACTTTTATTCAACATTATCGGTCTGCTGAGAATTCTATTCGCAACACCATCACCCATCTTGAAATACAAAATTTATTATTGAACAATATTCGACCGAAAGGACTACGTTCAGCACGCAGTGAAGAAAATATAGCAGCGGAATCTGAGAGTGTACACGAAGACCGTGCAGAGTCGATTCGCCGCCGTTCGCAGCATTTGGGACAGACGTATGGAAGGGCTTGGTGCACTTTACGTCGAGATCTCAAATTGAAAGCGTGCAAAATACAGCTTCCCAAGTGACATTGCTTCGCTTTATGGGCTCTTGAAAGTTTCCAAGGAGATCCGGCATTTTCGAGCCAAATTTTGTTCAATGAGAAGGACCATTGCTGACCAACGGTTATATAAATAAGCAAAATCGCCGCATTTGGAGCGAAGGGAAATCTGAAGAGATTTAAGCGCTGCCATTTCATCCAGTAAAAACAACGGTTTGGTGCGGTTTCTGAGCCGTTGGAATCATCGGTCCATATTTCTTCAAAAAGGATGCCGGTCAGAACGTAACCCTCTATGGCGACCGTTATCGCGCCATGATAACCGACCATTGGCTGCTTGAAATTAAAGCTCTTGATGTCAATGACATTTGGTTTCAACAAGACGTTGCCACTTCCCACACATCCCATCAATCAATGGATTTGTTGAGAGAAAACTTCGGTGAGCAGATAATTTCATGTTTTGAGCCGATCGATTAGCCACCAAGATCGTGTGATGTCACACCATTAGACTTCCTGTGGGGCTATATTTAGACTTTACTAAAGTCTATGCGAACAATTCCGCTTCGATTTAAGCCTTGCAGCAAAACATCACTAGTGTCATTTTCCAGTTTGAAAATTGGATTCAATGGATGGCCCATCTAAGGCGTAGCCGAAGCGAACTTTCAGAGAGCTAATCTTCAAAAAAGAATGCGTGAAGGACCTACACGTTACAATTAAGAGCTTAAACTAGGAGAGACTTTCTGAAAGGTGTCTAAGAAYMTATTTTTCAGAGTAGCAAGTGAAAAAAATATTCGGTGATTTGACCCACACTAATATGTTTGAGTATATTTTTTGTGATGTTTTTATGTTTCATCAGCAAATTTCTGCACGTTTTCACTTGCAACACAATATTTGCGGAAATTACTAAAACAAATTAATCTTTAATTAAATATTATATTCARCATATGTATGTGTAYWTATGCATTTGCTTTGCGCTTGCCATTCACAAATGACAAGCTGATTTTGGATACTAAGAGTGAGGATATCATTGCGCCATATAATGTGATATTGCAACAAAATTGTAAATGATCACATTCATATGGATTAATACTTACATAATATGTGTATGTATGTAAATATCTATGAGTGCAGAAAGCTTATCACATTTGCCGCCAAACACATACTTACAAATAATAGCCCTCATACTCGTGCATATCGGTGTATATAGGCAGCTGTAATTTGCCGAACCTCATGGAAAC